ATATCAACCTTTGTTGAGAAAATTCAGTTGTAAATAGTTGTCCAACACTGTCTGTTTCTATTCACTGAGTACTGTTTTCTCTCAATGAACCTTTATATGTACAAGAAACTGACAGTGCTGGAGGCACTTCAGTGTTAATTCAAAAATTCTAACTTGGGCAAAACACAGAATAACCGTAAGATTCAGAAAGAAACCTGAGAATGTCACAGTTTGGAGATAATTCTTATGACTTACGTGTGCTTTACATCTAGGAAAGTAGACTGTTGGGCAGACCTTAGGTGTCCTTTGAGATTTAATAGTGCCTTTACTGTGGAACAGTGAATTTCAAAGCCCTGCTGTCCTTTTCCTCCTGAAACAGTTCTGGTCCAGTGTTGTCATATGGGGCTAAAGCAGAAACAGCCCACTCTCAAGTCCCCTTCTCCTTCCACCTCTTTAGCTGCTGTGTTTAAGACCTGAGCTTTCACATCTGGAAAGTACTTGGTTTTTAAGTTACCTGCAGAAGCATGGGTGACCCTGCCCTATAAAGGCCAGTGCCATCCGTGTGTGTAGTGGGACTGGGGTCTCCAGGTTTCCCACTTCATTTCCAGGACAGCCGGTCCTTCCTCCTGTGGGGCCGGCTCCAGGGCAGGTCACGTGAACCCAGCCTGGGAGGCAGGACCAGTCAGGTGTGGGGGCTGTGTTTTAACAATAAATCAATGCTTGGTTATGGTGGTCCCTGCAGGTTATCATCTATTCTTTTCACTGAAGCAGGACTTATGTCCAGCGTGTCCTTGTTAACATGTGGTCTTCTTGCTCTAGCGCATCAAGTCTGGTCGGGACAGCAGCGGGTGTCCCCGCGGCCGGAGAGATGGGAGTGCAGGCAGTGGTGAGTGTCCCTGACCCTGGAGAGGCCAGGGTCGGCAGATCCTAGTGCACTGGCTTCTGGAAGCCCCTTGAAACAATCCAGAAACATCCTGTTTGTTTTTTTATATACAGCAAACCTCACTTACTTTCACTTTTAGTCACTTACCTCACTTACTTTAAGTTACTTTTCTAAGCATCAGCCTGCTGTATTATGAACAGGTGTTTGCAGGTGTTAATTGTTAAATAACCAGCCCTGTTTCTGCTGATTGATGAGTAAACGGTCATGTTGGGTAGATCATTGTAGGCGTCCATACCAGTGAGGTTTGCTGTGTCATGGTGTTCAGATGGATGTTGTTAGGAGGGGTCTCACAGGATGCTGACGGACTGCTGCACCTCAGTGCAGAAGTGGTGCCAGCCTGGGCACTGAGCAGCATGCCTCTGGACCAGCCACGCAAACCCTGTTGCTTTGGGCTGCTCCTGAGTTCCTGCTCTGTGACTGCTTGTGACATCGTTACTTAAAATTTGTTATGTTTTCCTCCCCCTTCTCCCCGTCAACAGAATCCACCTTCTTTCTCTATTTCAGGGTGTAGTAGAAGTTATATTTAGGGGAAGTTGGGTGGTTTTAAGGAAACTAATTAGAAAACCAAGTGCTAGATTGAGATCCAAGTTGTGTCCACACTTAGCCCCACCATGCACACAGGACTGACTTCATCCTGTTGTCTGCTTGTGGTCCAGGGGACACAACGCATGCAGGCCTGGCCTGCAGCTCAGGGAGGTCTTCCTTTCATTCCTTCATTACTGTTGGCTGCATTCTGGGTGCCAACGACATGAGACGGGGCCTTTGCCCTCAAGGAAGTCAGGATCGACTTGGAAGGACCCACGAGCCCTGATCTACTGTGGGCGCTGCCTGGCGGAGTGGGGCCGTGGCCCGGACGGCCACTCCTTGAGGGCGGGGCTTTGCTCCTCAGGTGTGTGCAGCCACTGCAGGCAGCAGGGCGCCTGGATGCCCCGAGGGGCAGCCCCACTGCTCCAGGGGAACCTCAGCTATGTAATACCCCTGGGGATCACCTCAGTGTCAGGTGATATCTCATTACTTTAGTGAAACAGGAATGTTCACACTGAGGATAAATAATGGCCTGGGATTGCTTCAGGCCAAGGCAGGTTTTATTCTTGACATGAAGCCATGTTTCCCCCCAGAAACCTGCTTTAGCGCCGTTTAGAATTGGGCTTGTAGATGAGGAATGTGGGCCTGCGTGCACCAACAGTTCTCAGCATCTGGGAAGTTGTGGACCAGCCTGTGCATCCATGAGAAGAGCCTAGAAAGGGCCCCAGCAGCCCTCTCCTCCCACTCCCCTTCTCTTAGGAGGCAGGTTCCCAGGCTGTGAGCGCATTTGAATTGGGTGTTCCTTTAAGGAATAACCCTAGGGGAACATCAGTTCTTTACTGAAGTTCAGGATCCTACACTTCCCTCCAGAAATGCTCAGTTCAGAGTGAGCAACCGGTTCCTCCCAAACCCACCACCAAACCACCTTCCCGGGTCATCATGGGATTGTGCGGTGTGGCTGAGGCCCCACCTCACATTTAAAGTCCACTTTGGAAGCTCCGTCCCCCCTAGCCAGGTGTCCTGAGAGATGGTGAAGCTGAACCAGAGCCTGGAGGACAGTGTCCAGCCCTAGAGAGTGTCCCCAGGCCCTGGGATGCTGCCTCAGGCTGAGGAGGGCCAAGGCTGTGTGGAGAGGGGCCTCCTGGGGGCCTTCCTGCTGCCGCTGCTGCTATTTCTTAGCAAATTTTCCCTTCTGTCGTCCAGCTCATGTCAGCCCAACACAAACAGGCAGTCGTGGTGCACAAACGAGCTTCTGGAAGCTGAAGCTGGGCTTCCCGATGGGCCAGGTATCAGGGCCTGGCCCTGGGGCAGCACCCGGCTCTCTTGCTGCTCTCTCCTAACACTTGCCTTTTTGTTCCTGGTTTCCTGTCATCGCTGATGGCCCCACCTCCTCCCAGCGCCCCCACACTGTTCCGGAGCCTGCCTGTCAACACCCCCCCTCCAGTTCTCTCAGGCCTGGGGCCAGGCTCTCCCTGGCTTTGGGGTCTGAGTCCACCAGGCTGTGGCACCACCTGACTTCCTCCCACTTCACCTTCGGGGCCCCTCCCACAGCACCATGGGGCCTCCGTGGACACGGCCCACCCTCAGCAGTGTCCCCTCCCTGCACTTGCCAGCACAGCCTGTGTGTTAAAGGGTGCCCAGTCCTACCACTTCCACTTCTGCCCTGGGAGACCCAGTGATGTACGTTCACATCTCAGCGTGTACATCTCTGGCGTTTCTGTCTGGGTGAGAATCACAGTTCACAAAGGGGAAAGGGTTTTTTTCATGAGTCCAGTTGAGGCCAGACCTGAGCTGGTTTAAGTGTAGTGTGTTGAAATAAATGCCATGCCTACAACTGGGTTTTTAAAGTGCTGCTTAGGAGAGAGGACCATTTTATACAAATAATTCTGATTATTTATGAGAGGACCATAGGGAACATATAATCAGAATTAATAGTTTCTACAAAATGGCTCTTTCTGAAATGTTTGAGGGCCTTTGAAAATGGTTCTTTTTTGTGTGTCAGACTGGTCTCATTGTAGCCTTATTTCTCAATAATTTGTTTTATAAACCTCAGTACCCTTCCTTATGAGGGGTCCTCAGGTTTTACCATGTATCAGAGTCACTGGGAAGGCTGGTTTAAACAGACCCAACCCCAGCCTCTCTGAGCTGGCCAGTGATGGGCCTGGGACTTTGTGTTTCTGACCAGGTTCCAGCTGTGGTGGTCCCAGGGCCACACCCAGAAAACCACTGCTGTGTCTTACGGGAACGACCTTGTGTAGGTGAGAGGTCACTGCTGCCACTTTTCCACCAAACCCATGGTCATGCAGTGAGAGTCTTTGGCCTCCTAGCCCACTGAGTCTGTGAGGCTGTGGTGGCTCCCAGGCTGCACACAGCTGATGGCCCAGCCCCTCCCCCCAAGCTGGGGGACCTTCGCCAGTGTCTCCAGCACCCGGTGGGACCTGAGCCATGTAAAGACTACTCAAGTGATGCTCTCACTATAGTATGAGATTTCTACTTGGGATTTCACCATGGGATTTCTTAGAAATTTCAGAAGACGAGAATTACATCCCTTGGAAATTGGCTGTCAGATGAAACAACCAGCCTGTTTTTTGGCAGATAACTATACTGTAAGATAATGCAGTGTGATGTTCCCACGGCATGTTCAACACCTGTTGTTTCCGTTTCCAGACAGTGGCCAGAACTGTAGTGCTGGCGGCAAAGGCGAGCGACTGAGTGCCCAGCTCCGAGCACTGCCTGGCACAGACGAGCCTTATGAGAGCAGCAGCAACAAGGAGCCAGGTGAGTGCCCCTGGCCCATGGGTCTGCCGGGATGGTGGAGGGACAGACTCATGCCCCTGGGGGTCGGTAGGAGTTTCTGCAACACAGACAAAGCTTCTTGTGACTTGGAAGGCGTTCCTGTTCACTTTGGGTTGCTCACTGTTGACGACAAGTCTAACTGGTTCTACATTTGCTGTTTTTCCTGTCCCTCTAATGTCACCATCTGCTCTGAAACCCAGACGCCTCCTATGTGGATCCGCTTGGTCCTCAAATAGAAAGACCTAAAACTGCAGCCAAAAAGAGAATGGACGAGGATGATTTTGCTGATGAAGAGTTAGGAGATGATTTGCTTCCGGAATAGTACAATTTTAATGTGTTATTTATTAAAGGAAAGAAGTCACCTTACAAGATTATATTCATGTTGAACTTTGAATTAAATATCCAAACTTTAATTTTGCACAGTCAAAACTTTTAATAAGTATATTCTGTTCTGTGAATTTGGGGTTTAGGTTTTGTTTTTAATGAAATAAAAACATGTGAAAATAACACTTAGGCCAGCGACTGACTTACCCTTTTGAAAACATTGATCCACAGTAGGAAGTAAATCTTCTTCACTAGTGGCTCAGTGGTAGAGAATCTGCCTGCAAGGCAGGAGACAGGTCTGATCCCTGGATCAGGAAGATCCTCTGGAGATGGAACTGGCAACCCACTCCAGTATTCTTGCCTGGAGAATCCATGGACAGAGGAGGGGGTCACAAAGAATCGGACACAACTGAGTGACTAAATAACAGTAACAATGAAATACGGACAAGAAGTAAATCTTGCAGCACTACCTGGCACCCACACCCAGGTAAGTATCACTAATCACTGAGGTATGTGCTGCTCTTTTCTGTAATTTCTTAGACAGTGTTAGTAGTGAAAGCACTATATTGACTTAATGGTTTGTGGCTTGAAAAATACTGTGCTCGGATATTCCCTTGATGAGTTGTTGTTCAAGCAAGCTTGCTTGGCGTTTGGGGACTGAGTTTGGAAGTTTTGCCTGGCGGAGGCTCCAGCACTAGTGAAGCAGTTGTGTCTTGAAGGCAGGAAGGTGTATTGACAGGAAATACCAGGTCTTGAGCCTCTCAATCTTTTCTGTAGTCGCCTCCTCCTGCAGCCTTGTAGCACCAACCACCCAAGCAATGGCAGCATCAAGGGGGCTTCCCCATCAGGACTCTGGGTGTGGGGTCAAGGCCAGGCCTGCCTGCATCCTCAGCAGTGCACCTGACTGGTTGGCCGTGTCTTGCAGAGTTGCATTGGTGGGCAGTCAGGAGAAGTGGCTTGTCTGTAATACCTCATGAGAGAGGAGGGCCCATCCGTCTCATCTTAGCTTGTTTCTGCCACATGCACACTTCTGTTAGGTGCAGGAGAGAAACACCTAATTAGAGCACATTCCTTGCTCCCGAAAAAGGTCATGACCTGATGGGGCAGCTGTTCAGCAAATACATGAGATGTCTGGTGTATGCGATATTCTGAGGACACAGTCATGACCAAGAGAGCAACACCCAGTCCTTAAAGAGCTTAGATTCTGGCCAGGGAGACAGATAGTGAATGTAGTTTCAGTGAGCTGTAGGGCAGTTGTTGTTCAGTTGCTCAGTCGTGTCTGACTCTATGACCCCATGGACTGCAGCATGCCAGGCTTCCCTCTCCATCACCAGCTCCTGGAGTTTACTCAAACTCATGTCCGTTGAGTTGGTGATGACATCCAACCATCTTATCCTCTGTCACCCCCTTCTCCTCCTGCCCCCAATCTTTGTCAGCATCAGGATCTTTTCCAATAAGTCAGTTCTTTGCATCAGGTGGCCAAAATAATGGAGTTTCAGCTTCAGCATCAGTCCTTCCAATGAATATTCAGGACTGATTTCCTTCAGGATTGACTGGTTGGATCTCCTTGCAGTCCAAGGGACTCTCAAGAGTCTTCTCCAACACCACAGTTCAAAAGCATCTGTTCTTCAGCGCTCCGCCTTCTTTATGGTCCAGCTCTCACATCCATACATGACTACTGGGAACACCACAGCTCTGGTGAGGGCAGTTAGAAGATGAAATGAAGGCACATCCAGAGAGTGCTGATGGTGGAGGAGATGATTTGGGAACTCCTCTGGGAGGGGCGTTTGTATCAGCATCAGGTGATGATTCTCAGGCAGCAATGCCCTGGGCAGGAGGAGCAGATGCTAACCCACAAGCAGGGGGGTCTGGGGATGTTGGGGGCAGAGAGCTAGAGCGTCTGGGGCCATCGGTGTGGTGGGTACAGTGTGCTCGGGAGCGGGCAAGGGGCTGCTATCCACCAGGGAAGCAGGAGTGGGTCTTTTTCTAGCAACAGCAGAGAGGAAGGTGAGTGATGTGACTTGATTTAACTTCTAGAACCAGTGACCCCATTGGTGTCAGGGGGATGGGGGAGAGGCCTGGGGGAGAGGTCACCGGGCAGGCCTTGTTCTGGCAGTGAAAGCCGTTGGGATTGGTCCATTTGAGCCCATGTTTAGGAGGTGGAGCGTGTCCGTGCAGGAGACTTGAGTTCAATCCCTGGATCAGGAAGATCCTCTGGCGAAGAAACTGGCAACCCACTCCAGTGTTCTTGCCTGGAGAATCCATGGACAGAGGAGGGGGTTGCAAAGAATTGGACACAACTGAGCGACTAAACAACACTACATACTTAAAGAAATAAACATGTTAACAGTTTAGTCCAACCCTGACAAGTAAGAGAAAGGCACACCCAGAGTCCTAGTGAGGGAAACCCAGAAGGGAGGCTGATGGCCACTTTTGCGGCTGAGGAGCTGAGTGGCTGTTGGTGTTGCCTTTTACGGAGGTGGGCGATCCAGGGGGAAGGCCGTTGGTCACCCCAGGTCAGGGCTGCTGCTCTAATTTCCAGGGGAGAACAGCAGAAAATTGTGGGTGTTAGGTCACAGGAGGGCTGGAAGCAGCACGACTAAGAAGTGTGTAGAGCCCGGGACATGGAGGTGAAGGAGGGCAGAGATCCGAGGACGGATGTGGAAGTTAGTCGTCTTGGGAAAAGTGACTGTGAGTCCAGAAGTGTGATGCACAGGGGTGTGGGTGGAGGCCTCAGGTATGTGGCATAGACAGCTGTGTGTGGTCAGCCAGCTGTGTGAACTGAACATAGCAGCTAAAAAGGATCAAGGGACTGGGGTAACTGTCGAACGTTGGGGGGAGGACACCAGGACTCGTTGGGATGGGGGGGCAGTGGTGAAGAGGCAGGGTCAGAGATCAGAGAATTGCAGAAAGTGAGGGAAGAAAGTGCTAGTGCCTGAGGTGAGTCACAGGCCAAACTGGGAACCGGTATCCACAGTGATCACACCTGAAGGTGGGGGATGAGGGGTGTGTGCAAGGGGCGGGGGGGCCGCCACATGCTCCAGGACCTGAGACCTGATGGGGAACAGTGGGTGGAGCCGGGGTAGCCACTTGGAGGCCAGTTTTGGATGACTCCTCGGGTGTCCAAGGTGGGGAGTGAGGAGCAGGGGTGGGACATCCAGGTGCTGACAGAGGAGACGGCAGAGGAAGAGGCACTGACTTTCACAGGAGGGAAAGAGTTTTGGTCTGCCCTGACCCAGGAAGGTGAGTGGAAACAGCTGCCCCCACAGCAGCTCTGAGTGCCTAGATGAGGAGCTTGGCTTTTGAGAACTTCCTTCCCATTATCTCACTTGTCTTAGGATGGGATTTGAATTGTTAACATGTTTATTTCATAAATATGTTCACTTCATAAGTATGTTCTGAGCTGAGGGTACTGACTACTGGATTTTGCACCTATTAGAAGAGAATTTCTCGACTTTGTTTAGTATCGAAAAGATGAATTGTATGTTCTATCAAGTGGGCGAGCATGTTCAGTGTTTATGATCTTTCACAAAATGAAAACTGTTGGAAAGTAAATATTTTCGTTTCTAAGTAACAAGGGAGGAGAGAGAAGTTACTGAGTTATCAGACAGTGGAAGGTATTTCGTTGAATAATGCAGAGGGAACAGTCTGGTCTGTACTGCCTAACCTTTCAAAGTATTCCCACACCTTTACCAAATTGGGGGAAAAAAACCACAAACAGTATGTTTGTGCATTGATATGTTTATTTCCATTTTACCAGAAAGGAAACAAAGAACACAATTTACCTACTAGTCAAAAAAAAGTAACCTCAAAACGAACGCTTACTCACCAAGCTGTTAATTGCTTAAATTGGCAATTTCTGTGGGCTTTTTAGCAGTAAATAGGGCGATTCCTCTTCAGTTATAGGGTATTCAAGGCATACAAAAGTGTTGTTTTTCTACACAGCATAACTGAAATGTGGTTTCACCAGTGATTTACAAGGCAAATACCAAAACTAGAAACCGTTTAAGGAATCATAAATTGTGTATTTTCTGTACCTTTGGAAACCTTTCAGCTCTTATCATTCTTTTGTTTTTATTGGCGAAGTATGACGGCTGTGAAATGACCGTATTCACCAGGCCGCCGCCTAAAAGCATTAAGGTAGATTTATAGAATGAGCGAGCATGTTTGCTTGTTCTTGAAATAGAATCCCTCGAGGTAAGTACATTGTCTTTATTTACAAAGTATCGGTCTTATTTCACACCACTGCTCTCGCTTAGAGTCCGGGCTTCAGGAGCAGGCGTCCAGACACCGGCGCGCCCAGAGGTGCCGGTTTCCAGCCACAAAAGGGCAGCCTGGGTCGGGTGTTTGGTGCTCGGTTTTCTGAGCTGCTGGGGGGCGGGGGTGGGTGCAGAGAAGGGCCGTTTCCTGGGCGTTTGGGGGAAGGACAAACGGCCGCTCCCCCACCCGGTTCGGAACACTCAGTCTCCAGTCCCTCAGGAAGGCGTGGTGAGACAGGCTGCCTCCAGGCCCGCGCGCTCCTCTCCAGGTGCCCGTCGTCCCGGGGCTCTTCCCGCGCGGCCGGACCCGCTGACTTCCCTTCCAGCCGAGGCGCCTCCTTCCGCTCGCGCCGCGCCGCGCGGCTCCGCTCGGACGTGTCCGCGCCGCCGCGACCACCGGAGCCACTTCGCGGCGATGCTGGGGCCGCCAGTGAGTGCGCGGCGCAAGCGCCCAGCTCAGTCCCTGGGCGCGGGGCTGCGCGGACCGGCCCGAGGAGCTCCTGGAGCAGCTGTACGGGCGACTGGCGGCCGGCGTGCTCGGCGCCTTCCACCACACGCTGCAGCTGGGCCCGCGCGAGCAGGCGCGCAACGCCAGCTGCCCGGCCGGGGGCAGGCCCGCCGACCGCCGCTTCCGGCCGCCCACCAACCTGCGCAGCGTGTCGCCCTGGGCCTACAGGTGAGCGGGGCGCCGGGAGGGCGGGGGGCGCCAGGGGTCTGGACCCGGAGCAGGCCTTCCCGCAGAGGCCCTGCACCTTCCTCCGAGGGGACCGCGTCCTCTGGGGAACTCGTCGTTCTGCCAGACGCCCCAGGGTTTCTTGAGCACCTGCTCTTTGCCAGGTACGTGGTTAAGTGGAGTCCACGGGGGACCGAGCCGGGTGGGCTTTTGTTACAGAGCTTTGCACGGGCGGCCCGTGCGGGTCTTGCAGATGTTTTCCGGGTGCCTGTGCCCATCCAGGGACAGCTGGGCATTGGATCTCCGTAGTGCATCTTCTGAGTTTTCTCGCCCATGGCCAAACGGGAGGGGCGGTGGGGGTCACCAGAGAGTAACCGAGGCGGGAGGAGAGTGGAGCTGAGCGTGCGGTGGTTGTCGGGGTGAGGATGCGCCCCGGGCACTTTGGAGGTAGGGAGTCTTTACGTGGCTTCTCAAGAGGTCGGTCATCTCGGAGGAAAGGAGCAGCGTGCAGACAGGGCCAGTGTGGCTGGAGTGTCCTCAGCCCACGTGTGACTGTCCCCTTCTTTCCTTGCCATCCCCGTACCAAGGCACTCATAGTCAGACTGCAGAAGGTGGGAGCCTTCACTCCGAAGCCTCAAGAAAGGGAAGGGGTGACCCAGAGGAAAGGAGGAGAGTGAGGGACCCAGGCCTGTGTGTATGTGTGTTTGTGCGGGTGTGCATGTGTGTGGTGGGAGCGCAGGCCTGGGTTTGACTTTAGCAGGGTTGCAAAGTTGACATTTATCTTTGAGGGTGTTTTTCAATCAAGGAAGCTGTCCTCCAGCAGGGTAAACTGGAAGAGAACAAGGACACTCGAACCGGGGGTAGAGGAGGTGAAGCAGGACCAGTTTGAACAGGGTTGCTTCAGGAAGTGAAACTGACCGGGTTGAGTGAAGATGGTTACTGCGGGAGGTAGGGGCTCAGGACAGACGTCCACGCTGGGGTTTGTGTGCAGGGAACCTGTGAAGAACCCCAGGCTGCTTCCCTGGTCTTTGCCCCACCTTCCCGCCTCCCCTTGCTCCCCGTTTCTGCTCCGTCTGTTGCTCCCGGGACTCATCCTGGCCTTGGTCTCTGCCTTCCCTCCTCCCACCACGCCCAGGGCCCCAGAGGGTGGGTTCTTGTCAGGCCCCTCTTCCTGTATCCTCCTGTACGCCTTGGTGTGCCACGTGTCATCGTGGACAACACACTCCTCTCTGCAGGCGCGTAGCTGCTTCCCAGGCCCCTGAGGCCCGGGGACCACGGGACCATGAGGGGCCTGTTTGCCATGCAACTGGCTTGCATTGGTGTCTTCTAGCAGCAGCACGAGGAGATGAGTTTTCAGAGCTGGGCCTGCTGGTTCTTATCCCTGAGACTGGGGGCTGGGGGCATGAGGGTGTGTGTGTGTAGACCGAGCCCCTGTCTCCCCAGGGGAGTCCTCGGTGCAGAGGGGGAGGCTTCGGAGGGGAGAGATGATTGTTGAGAACAGCAGCCAGTGTCCCGGGTGCTGGTAAGGAGCAGGAGTTACACCTGCGTGGTTTTCATGCGTCTCGTGAGCACTCACGTGGCGGTTGGCCCCACCCTCTGCAGGGGGTTGGCTTCTGGGCGGGGCCTGGGCTGCAGGTGGCTGGCTGCTGGGGGACCCCTCTCCGCCCCGCCCTCAGATCGCCTCCCAACCTCCCGAGTTCCTGGGAAGATTAGAAAAAGTCGTGCACTTGGCAGCCAGGAACCTATTCTAAGCTGTGAGTGGTGGGGTCGGCTTATTAGGTGTTCTTGCCTGGCAGGTCTTGAGCAAAATAGTGGCCTTACTTGTGTGGAGTCAGCTCAGACTCAGAGTGGTGGTTAAGGCTAGAACAAAGGGTACTGGATGAGGAAGCCACTACTTGCCAGACCAGAAAGGACCACTTTAGGTGAATAAGGTCGGCTTTGAAATAGAAACGTGGACTATAAGGTAGCTTTCAGTGTCTTTAGGGGAGAGACAGGTCATTCGATAAATAGTGTTAGGACTGGGTAACCAGCTTGGAAAAGATGCAATTGGATCTCACCCCTGTATGAAAATAAGTTCCAGATGACTCAAAGACTTAAGTGTGAAGAATAAAACCACAAAAACACATAAAGAGCAGTAAGTTATATTCATACTCTTGAGTGGAGAAGGCCTGTTTAGTAGTTTCCAGACCCCCAGTGGGCTTCCCTGGTTGCTAAGTGATGGTGAATCTGCTAGCCAGTACCAGAGACCTGGGTTCCATCCTTTGGTCTGCAAGATCCCCTGAAGGAGGGAATGGCAACCCTGTCCAGTATTCTTGGCTGGAGAATCCTATGGACAGAGGAGCCTGTTGGGCAACAGTCCACGGAGTGGCAGTGTTGGACACAGCTGAGCAACAAAGGACATACACAAGAGACCCCCAGAGTCACAAAAGAGGAGAGCGATACATTTAATTGCATAATAATATGCCATTTCTTCTTGGCAAAATTGAAAAAAAAATACAAGGGCAAACTGGAAGAAAATATGGTGCAAAATCCATGTGACAAAGAGCTTGTTTTATAAAGAGTGCTTACAAACCAAGAAAAAGATGTGATGAAAGGATGACAGAGGCCATGGACTGTCCTGGACAGACCTTGCCTTCAGGTGTAGTGTTGTACCGAGAGAACTTTCCTGGTGGGGCATTCATCAGGCGGGGCTGCAGGTGTGTGAGGGGAAAGAGTCTCCCAACACAGTGTTGGTGTGACTGGTCCAGCTTCCATGGAAGAGAGTTGGGGAGTAACTATGACAGTTTCAAATCCCTACCCTGTCTTTCCGTGATTTCCTCTCGCCATTGGCAACCAGCCACTTGTTTGCTCTCTGTTTCTGTTTTGTTTTATTGCTTCTTTTCTGTTTTTTTAAGATGCCACATACAAAAGGGTAACAGTGTTTGTCTTTTCCTGAATAATACCCTCCAGATCTGTCCACAATTCTGCAAGTGGCAAAATTTCATTCTTTTTCTGTGGCTAATGTTCCCTTATATATATTTACTATGTCTTTATCCATTTGCTTGTTGATGGACACCTGGGTTGCTTCCATGTCTTGGCTGTTGTAAACAACGTTGCTATGAATTTTGGGGTACATGTGTCTTTTTTCATTTTTTCTGGATTTATATCCAGGAGTGGAATTGCTGGATCATATGGTATAACAGTTCTAGTTTTTAAAAAATTATTTATTTTATTTTTGGCCGTGCTGGGCCTCTGTTGCTGTGCAGGCTTTCTTCTGTAGTTGTAGTGAACAGGGGCTACTCTCTAGTTTCAGTTTCTGAAATGCAGGTTTCTCATTGCGGTGACTTCTCTTGTTGCAGAGCACAGGCTCTAGGGCACGTGGGCTTCAGGGATTGCGGCCCCCAGGCTCTAGAACACAGGTTCAGTTGCTGTGGTGCATGGGCTCAGTGGTTCCGAGGCATGTGGGACCTTCCTGGACCAGGGATCAAACTGGTTGTCTCCTGTTTGACACCAGTTTACCACCATTGTTTACCACTGAGCTGACAGTGAGGCCCTATTTTTGTTTTTTTGAGGAACGCGCACAATTTTCCATAGAGGATGCACCAATTTACACTCCGACCTACAGTGCACAAGGGTTCCCTTTACTCCACATCCTCACCAGCATTTGATTTTTGTGATCTTTTTGATGATAGCCATTCTGACATGAATGAGGTGATAGCTCTTTGTGGTTTTGATTTGCACTTCCCTGATTAGCAGTGTTGAGCATCTTTTCGTGTGCTTGTTGGTCATCTATATATCTTCTTTGGAAAAATGTGTATTCAAGTCTTCTTTTTAAATTGTTTTTTTTTTATATTGAGTTGTATGAGCTGTTTGTATATTTTTGATAATAGTTATTGGTTTTAACAATTGCAAATATCTTCTCCCATTCAGTAGACTGACTTTTGACTTTGTCATTAGTTTTCTTTGCTGTGCAAAAGCTTGTAAATTTATTTATTTTTGCTTTCATTTCCTTTGTCTTAAGAAAAGAATTGAAAAAATATCACTATGATTTATGTCAATGTTCAGACTGATCTTTAGTTGTGAATGTATAGAAATGCAATGGATTTCTCTATATTAATTTTGTTGTCTACAAATTTACTGAATTCATTTATGAGCTGTAACAGTTTTCTGGAGGCATCTTTAGGATTTTCTATGTATAGTATCATGTCATCTGCAAACAATGACAGTTTTACTTCCTTTCCAATTTGGATCCCTTTTCTTTTTCTTCCGATTGCCATGGCTAGGACTTCCAATAGTAGTATGTTGAATGAAAGTAGTGAGAGTGGGCATTCTTGTTTTCTTTCTTTCTGTCTTGAATTTTATTTTTCCACATTTTTAAGAAAGTCAACTCTCTGTTTTAGAGGTGGGAGTTCTATTTTTTTTCATTTTATTTTTTAATTGAAGTATAGTTAATTTACAATGTAGTGCTCCAGGTGTACCGTAAAATGATTCAGTTGTGTGTGTGTGTGTGTGTGTGTGTGTGTGTGTGTGTACACACACATATATCCTCCCACTTTCCCCCGGTAACCATAAGTTTGTTTTCTACATCTGTGACTCTATTTCTGTTTTGTAAATAAGTTCATTTTACATTTTTTTGGATTTTCCCATATACGGGGTATCATATATTTGTCTCTCTCTGTCTTACTTCACTCAGTATGGTAATCTCTAGGCTCATCCATGTTGCTGCAAGTAGCTTTATTTCATTCTCTTTTATGGTTGAGTAATATTCCATTGTGTATATTACCACATCTTTACCCGTTCATCTGTTGATGGACATTTAGGTGGCTTTCATGTTTCAGCTATTGTAAATAGTGCTGCAATGAACATTGGGGTGCATGTATTATTTCAAATCATGTTTTTTTTACAGGGTATATGCCCAGGAGTGGGATTGCAGGATCAGATGTTAGCTCTGTTTCCTGCATACTGTTTTCCATAGTGGCTGCACCAATTTGCATTCCCTCCAGCAGTGTAGGAGTGTTCCCTTC